AAAACTATTTAAGAAAACAAATACTCAAGGTAATACTTTTTAGAAAGTGTTCTTTTTAAGGTGTTCAAAAACTATGGTTTATCTTCCATACATGTTTGAATGGGTTAGAGACATTGTTTCAATTCTAGAGCAACAACAAAAATTAAACTAGAAGGTAGTTGAAATCTAAACAGGCTTCTTGGCATGCTTCAGGAATAGAGAATAACGCTTTGGGTTAATTTGCTTTCCTAGATCTGACACTTATTCAAAAATCTGATATTGGAGTGAGAGAAAGACACTGAGATATTTGACCAGCAAAATTTAGCATCTGATAGACAACACAGTTACATCATATTAAGAAAAAAATTGTGTACAATTATCTACAGTCATACACACACACACACACATGCACACATCAGAGTTTGTCTCTGTGCCTTGTTGCAGAACTCCTGCGGATTAGTAGCACGAGTCCAGTAACTATCTCGTTCTTTTACCTAATAGTTCACGATGTCATAAGCCCACCACTCCCACTTTGTACCTCGGTAGACGCTTTTCCAACAGCACTTAAGCATCAGGTGTAAGAGTCAAATGTCATAGCTGTAAATAGGCATTAAAGTTGAACTTTTCCAGATTGAACCATTCTGGCCTGCTAAGCCTTAATATCATACATTAATCAGGTCCATATGCCTCAAATAAATTTTGTGTTTGGTGTGTCATCATCTCTTAAAATGTCTTTCCAGTTTAAATAGTTATTTACCCCACCACATTTGGCAAAAACATTGCCTTCTTAAGTCGTAAAAGTCTCTCTGCTCACATCAAATTCTCCTATTTCTCTAGCTCTTTGTTTGAGGGATACTTTCAAATCTGATTGTTATTTAGCAGAAAAAAATATTAAGAGTACTGTACTCAGTTACTCTAAAATTATATAAACATTGAGAACACTGTAAAAATTGGAATTGCATTTTCTATGACACCTCTGTCAGCCACATGGATAATTTTTCAATATTTTAACCCCAAATCTCATCATAAACCATTGATATCCTGAGAAGATAGTTTTCAAAACTACCTCATGTATCATTTCTAGGAAACACTTTTGCCTATCCTTTTGGAATCTTAAAATACTAAGCTTATTTTTTGTAAATAAATTTTTATTTCCTTTTAGATTTTCTTTTTTCTTTATTTATGTTTTTATTTTTTAATCAATCTAAATTGCATCTTGGTATATGGCATGAGATAAGATTCTAACTTTACTTTTCCCCAAACCGTTGAATTGTTTTCACATTATACTTATTGAATATTTATTTCATCCTTTCCCCCAGTGTCTCCATACTTTAAATTTTTATGAATACAGTTCTTTTTTTTTCGCTTTCTCTATTGTACTTTATTATTTGTCAATTAAAAATGAAATAAATTGTAAAAGAAAAAAAAGATAAGAATACTGAACAAGATTAATGAGAGACCTTGAACTACCAGACATCAAAACACTATAAAGTTGCAAATATGTAAAATATATAGGCATGGGAATAGAGGTCCAAAGCTTATCTTCTTTGAGAGAAGTTTTCAAAGTAAGTGTCATAAGAACGACAGGCAGATGACCTACAGGCAGAGGACTCCCATAGGTCACATCCCTGGAGGAGCTTTCTTGGTTGGGTCATGGTCCTGGCAGGTTAACATGCTTTGAGAGAGGTGCCAGAATTTGAATCGAGAGTGAGTGTTGCCGTCTCCACTTCTCAGGACATGTACGATGAGCTGATGATGATCATTGGCTCCCGGCGCAGTGGCCTGAACCAGAACCTCACACTCAGGAGTCAGTATGAAAGGGCCTTGCAGGATCTGGCTGACCTGCTGGAAACTGGTCAGGAGAAGATGGCGGGAGACCAGAAAATCATCGTGTCTTCCAAAGAGGAAATCCAACAACTGCTTGACAAACATAAGGTAAAAAAAAAAAGAGAGAGAGAGAGAGGGAGAGAAAGAAAACATAACTGTGAAAGCATGTTCTCAAGCCCAGATATATATATGTATTTAGTAATACTTAATATTTCATTCTTTTGTGAGTTCTTCCTTGTGTAAATTATCCTTTAAAATGGTCAACTAATGTGTATTCGCACCCACTGGCATTCAATAGCACAGAGAAATTATAGGGGATATATTTCCATAATTTGTAAATTAAAAAAGAAAACCAACCTTACCAGTTCCACACGCGCACACACACACACACACACACAGAAAAAGCTCTTGAATTATTAGCAGTGATTACGGGAAGAGCAGTTTTGCCAGTCCAGAAACTAAGCCTCCCACGCTATGGGAATTTCCTGTAAGAAAACTGATAAAATCCTATTGGGTTATAGAAGGTTAAATCTTCTACCATTGTGTAGCTTTCTGGTGGCTTACAAAGGTGAATTTTTTTTTTTTTCTTTTTGAAATTGTTCTTCTCGGTATTTTTTTCCCAGAGCTTTTTTCCCAAAACTTTATGATTTATTAAAGCCTTATCATTTGGCTTTGAAAACATTGCTTTAAAGTTCACAGCTGGTCTTTCTCAAATTGTTGACTATAGCAATAAAAGCTCATTCTGAGTTATTCCAGAGGGGAAGCTAGGATCAATGAGTATAAATAACAGAGAAATAAAGCCCAATAGAAGAAGAATTCTAAAGCGAGTAGGCTGCCATTGAACAGACAGCCCTCCTAGCCATGAGAAGTCTAGCCAAGGCTTTCAGGGGAGATGGGCTTGTTAAAGGAATCTCAGCTTTCATGGATCGTTGGAGCAGATGAACTTCAAGGTCTCTTCCAACTTGAGTCTATGATACAGTAATTGTCAGTTAAAAATGATGATTGTAGCTTCTACTGACCAGACCATTTTCTGCAGGAAAGTTCTGCAGTATTGGTGGGGAGCGCAGATAGAAGCGCACTGCCCAGGTTCAAATCCCAGCTCCACCACTGCTAGCATGTGTGACCTTGGGCAAGCTACATAGACTGGATGGCTCAGTGTTGTCCTCTATAAAATGGGAAATAAAACTACCTGTTGCATAGAGTTATAGAGTGGTTATAAGGAGGAAATGAGTCAGGTAATGTGTTTATGGCATGCCCAGCAAATAGTAAGAACTCAATTAATGTTAGCCGTTATTATCAATTCCCAGTTCTTTAATTCCATCGTGGAGCTAGGAACAGGAAATGGGATAGGCTCCACCTCCATTCTCAGGGTCTGTTACACAAAAAAAGTAACATTTCAAAAACATTTGTAGGCTGGTGCAAGGCCTATAATTCTGTTCTCTACAGGTATATTACAGGGAAAATAAAAACTATTTAGTACCGCCAAGCATTAAGCACAACACACCCTCTGGAAGTTCAGGAAGTATTGCTCAAACCCAGCCAGAGAAGGGAAAGTCATTGAAGATGTCAAGTGAGAACATCTCGAGAAGAACAGAGTCAGAGCAGAGGCCAACGGTGGGCGAGTGGGAGCTAATGTGTCCGAGGACACGGAGGCCAGTGTGTGGTGGAGTTAGTGGGAGACCGTGCCAGGACAGGAAGGAGGCCAGACTGTACATGCATGAGGTTTTAAGAGGGCAGAGGAGTTTTTTCCACAGCTGGCACATATGAAGAGCTTTGTTTTGGGGACAGCGTGTCTGCAGCACAGCAGAGTGTAGGATGCATTTGAGTAGGGAGACAAAACAGGCCAGTTGAAAGCCTAGAGCCCCGTCTCTGCAGGACGCCACCAGTGTCTGGGCTAAGGGGGAGGTGAGCGGGGTATCGCTCACGCATTAACAGAGTTCTGTCTGCTTTCACATTTGAAGCGATTTTGATCATAAGGCCATCTATGGATGAGTTGCTGACTTCTTTCTACCTGAAAAATTACAGGAATACTTTCAGGGCCTGGAGTCTCACATGATCTTGACTGAAACACTCTTCAGGAAGATCATCAGCTTTGCAGTCCCAAAGGAAACCCACTTCCATACGGAACTGATGGCTCAGGCTTCCACGGTACTGAAACAGGCTCACAAGAGGGGCGTGGAGCTGGAGTACATTCTAGAGGTGAGACCACTGATGTAGCATCTTCCCTACTGCAGATTCTCTGCTGCAAAGTGGACCTTTAACGCAGGGTGTGTTTACTCATTCAGTCGCATAAGCTCAGAACTGGCTGTGCTCTGGGGCTCAGGACTGTGCCTTTCCTATGGTTACGCGCCGCCTTGCCCGCCTTGCATTTCCTGTTCACATTCAGAAATATCTGTGCCATGTAGTGAACCAGCTATGTGAACACTGACTTCAGACCGTGCATGAAATTATCTGGGGTTTCGATAGTCAGTCCGATAGCCTAGTTAAGAATATAAAAAAATGTAGAAATACATCCCTGACTCTGTCCTGAATGCAGTTGCTTTTGTGGTTACGATCTATACTGGGGTCCAGAAGTCAGAGGACAGCCACCTGGATCCAAGGCCTTGTGCTCTGGAAACATAACATGAGGGATCCGTTTAGTATCAGACTAAGCACACTGGATTGAAACTAGAAAACCTGGGTTCATATTATAGAAGCCATTTGTACCATTTACCTTGGTTACAGGTCTTAATCTGCTGTCCTGCCTGTCACAAAAGGAGACTGAAATTTCATTCCCTCATTCATTTAGTCACTCTCCTTCAGTCACACTCATTGTCATATCAGCCATTCATTCAGCATTAACCAAGCTGCCACTAGTTTCCAGGCACTGGGAACACAAAAATGAATATGCCCAGGACTCTGCTGGGCTGTTAAATCCTCAGCGACCCAGCGTCTAGGAGGGCAACAGGCAAGTGAGGGAGCAGTCAGAATACAAAATAAGTCTTTATAGAGAACAAAACAGTGTTTTGTACATTAGATCTTATAGATAATAAGAAAGAGGGATGCCTTCTATAACCAAGACCCACACTCTGGAGCAGAGACTGTCCCATGGGCTAAATGTGGCCCACTGCCTCTTTTTATAAATAAAGTTTTATTGGAACATACAAAGTTTTATCAGTTTATATGTTGTCTACCACTGCTTTTACACTACAAGGGCAGACATGAGTAGTTGCAACAGACACCATATGGTCCGCAAAGCTGAAAATATTTACTGTCTGGCCCATTACAGAGAAAGCCTGTGGGCTCCCACACTGGAGTCGGGCAGACTTGGACTCGAGTTCCAGCTTCACCACAAGAATATGACCTGGTACCCATGACAGGTGCTCATAGAGACGTACTGATCAGCTGGAGACCTCTGTGGCAATGTAGGACATCAGTGATAGACCAGTCCCCTCCTCTTTTCAGTAACTACATTAGTTGCCCTAAACTGTTCCTGCTTTCTCATTCTTCCTCTTGCCCATGAAAGTTTTAGGGATTATAATCTCTCTCTTCTTTCCTCTCTTTCCACCCACTCCCCCAACATTACCAACCTTACTTGGATTGCCTGCAGCTCGTATTTACATTTTTCTAAATCTTGTCTTCTTCCTGAGGCCAACATTATCATAGCTAGCTAAACCCCAAATTCCCCAGTGTGCTATATTTTGGAGAGAAACTTATCTTTAACACTTGAAATCTCTTTAATAACAGTTACTATTTATAGATCTGTGGGGCCCCTTGCTAGGCTTTTCACATTTATGGATCATCTACTCTTCGCCCTGACTCTGTAAGATGGTATTGCGAATTCCTGTTTCAGGAAGGAGTCTGGGAGCAATGTCTTGCCAAGGCCCATGGTTCGTTGGCGGCAGAGTCAGCAATCACACCCTCATCTGTCTGACTTCGCAGCCTGCACTGTGTGCTTTGCAACGAAACTGCATGACCACACCATTTAAATTGCAGTCCCACCACACACACACACTGGCCACTCCCTCTCCCCCTTCTCAGTTCTATTTTATTCCCCTGCAGCTCAAGA